GTTCATGCTGGCAAGTCACCTTGCCATAGTGGTCAACAGTTTCGCAGAAATAAAGTAGAGAAAAAAACTACCGGAAAAAATATTCATTCACCCTGAGTACACGAAAAATTATCCAACAGTAAAGTGCTTATGTTATACTATCAGCTAAGTGCTCAGAATTAAACGTCAATATAAACAAGCACGAGGTTTCACCTTAATTATATATTACCATTAAATAGCGCTTCCTAGTGACATACCACGAAACTTTTCAGAGTCACACTTTAATTAATCTATAATGTATTCCATTCTTTAGTAAGTATGCCTAATGTGAGCAGCATCGGAGATCTAGGACTTAGACAAACAACAAAGTGTAGCACATTAAAGAATTGCATCGTAATTGACTTTGAATTAACTTTACAATTTTTTTATAATGTTATATGCAAACAAGATTACACTATACACCATAAGAACGTTGCTTTCTTGACGTATAATTCACATATTTCTGTCTTAATATTAGCTGAGATGGCATTCACCGTTAATTATGTAAAAGCTTTGAAAACTTCCAGAGGTCTATCTTGCGCTACACCAAATCAATGACATCTAAACATGAGTGAAGGAACTGGTCAGGAAAGAATCAGTAAGCAAAAGTATTGATTTCCGTCACCGCTTCTATCGACTCTTAATTAGTAAGTGAATATTCTTTCCAATGAAAACCACTCAGTCATTCTCAGCGCTGAGTTTGTAGTCTAAAGTACACAAACGCTTCCAAACTCCTTTATCAATCGTCTCCCTGTTGCTCACCATCATCTTCTGACTGCCACAGAGTTAGATTATCGCGGAGAAGTTGCATTATCAGGGTGCTGTCTTTGTAAGAATCTTCTTTTGCGTCGTCCAGTTTAGCTATCGCATCGTCGAAGGCCGTTTTTGCCAGCTCGCATGCCTTTGAGGAGTTGTTTTCGATCTCGTAGTAGAACACAGAGAAATTCAGCGCCAATCCAAGGCGGATGGGGTTCGTTTCTGACAAAGATTTTTTACTCTCCTCATTAGCTTGTTCATAAGCTTTTTTAGATTCTTCGCTCAGCGTCTTCCTATCACCTGAATCACTATCCTCGATCTCCACAAGGTAGCGATAGTAATCTCCTTGCATCTTGTAGTAGAAAACTTTAGCTTCTTCTTGGTTCGTAGCATCTTCCACCACAGCCAGTAGATTTTTGATCAATTTAAGGACTTCGTTGCACTTTTCCTTCAGTTCACCTTCCACGGTCTGCTTATAACTCTTCGCAATTTCCTTTTTAACTTCGTCACCCTCTGCCTTATCCTCTAAGTTCGAAATAATTCGCCAGGCAGACCTTCTCGCTCCTACCACGTTCTTGTAAGCCACTGAAAGTAGATTTCTCTGTTCGTCAGAAAGGACCTCCTTAGTTGATTCCACTAATTTTGTCATATATGTAACCATATCATCATAACGCTCAGCTTGTTCAGCCAGCTTGGCCTTCGCAACTAAATCGGCAGGGCTCGACATGGCGTCCAATTCACGGTAACAATAATAACTATAACAAGCACACTCGAAACCTTCTACAAGCAGATGGACGCCTTTCGATCGATGGGAGCTGTCTTCCCTCTACAGATTAATGCACGGTTTTCCACCAATCATGATCGTAGTTAGCATCCGGGAAACTTTCTAACCGGGAAGTGGTAAGCATGACGTAATTATGAAAAATTGCTCTCACTTCATTTCTTCGGAATTCTGCTTTCTTCTTTCTTGACACGTACACTTTTCTCGAATATGGTGTCCATCATCATATGGAGACTACTATATTCATTGATGCACCTGCCAACGTTCCTTCCAACTCTTTTTGAGTCAGTGACAAAAAATGTTGATGAGTGCAATTTAAAAAGTCCATATGACGACTAGCGAAGAATTACTAGAAGTCTCTGAGTTGTTCGAAGGCGTGTCGAAGACTTTCCGAATCAGCCTCCGGCCGGAGCTATCGTAACTTCCGGAAAACATACACTTTTCTTTTCTCACTTATGTTGAATCAATCTCACCTTATGTTTTTTTCAAAACTGCTCACAGAAAAAAATAGCGAAGAAAATAAAACCTCGTTCCGGAAATGGGAAAGCTTGATGTATGTCCTCTTATAGGCAATGAGGTACATGCATCCAAGATTAAAAAGGATTTCTAGGGAAATATTGATGAAAAGTATAATGTATGTGCTATGAATGACCAAGAAATCAAATATCTGGTTTTTTTTTCTGAGTATTGTTCTTCTGCTGGAACGTAATATCGCATAAATTTTTCTCAGCCAAACTTTGAAGCCATTCCGAACTACAAAAATCTTTTTTCCTCTGAAGCACAAAAATTCGTTGCGTAGATGAAAACTCCGGAAAAAATTTCCTAGCTTCGGTTAACCCCTTTACTATCAGATCAAATTTGTAATTCTCCTTACTGTCAGCCCTACAATTCGTATAATGGTAGTTCAAAGAATTTAGTATTGGATCTACTAATTATCCCCAAATTGATATTTGTCTTTATTCTCATCACTTACCTCGGGTTGATATTGTATTGATATTGTAAGGAGAAATTCTTTCTTGGTCACTCATGGGAGTTAATGGGTTAAGCGGGTAAAGCGCTTACATTTCTAATCCACGCATGAACAAGGGAGCTCGCGAAAAATGATGTTCGCAAAATAAGCGGAAGGACGAAGAAAAATGAAATTCGGAGCCGTTACCTTACGATCACAGACACCGTTCCACTTGCCATACCTTTTTTTTTCTAACCCCTTTTTCGTTTCTCTTTGCCGAGGATAGCAAAGAAGGAATTCTCATCCCGTTTCACGCACGTCACGTATGTACCATTTGCTACCTAAGAGCCTAACACATGACACAGGCTCCCCAACGTAACATTGCTCAGCGACCGATAGAAAGGAGAGGCTACAAAGTATTGAGCGAGAATTACAAACATGGCTGCTCGAAGCAGATATTCTGAACTACCTGGCATTGTAAGTATCCCTCTTAACCTAACTGTTCTGTTATTTTACCTTTTTTTTCTTAAAACGTAAATTTCACTCTTCCGTTAGATTTTGGTTACATTTTATCCCTGTTTCACCCTTCTTTTAGGACAATCAGCCAGATGTCTACGAAACACCCGATGTTATGGAGAAAACTAACCAGGAGGGTGACCCTTCGGTAAAATATTTTGCTATTCAAAACTTTTATGACTGAAGGAGAATTGAAACTGATTTATCAATTCTCTGCAATTCTTAATGTTCATTACATGTACTTAAGCTTAAACATCCTAAAATATTGCATTTAATATAAAGTCCCTCTTTCAACTTAAATTCACTCTAGAATAATTTCCATCAGTTTTTGTATATTTTGGCTCTATCCTTTCAATGCGCTGTTATGTTAGGAAAGAAAAAAAAGTCGCTTCAGATCTGGAAGGGAAAAAAGGAACGAGGAAAAGTGAAAAGTTAAAGTAATTATGGGGAAGCATTGCAAGACTTTGAAAACCAATTGCTTAGTACAGGGTGACTGCTTATTAAGGTGCCTTAATTTTTACTACCCCTCTTACTGTTTTGTATAATTATTTAGATGCAGAATGGAGATGAAAGTATTCATTTGTTAAAAATTGATGCTAAAGAAGCATTTGAGAAATTTAGTGGAAAATATTTAGACCCAGGGAATACTGGTAAGTGATAGTTTTAACTTGACTCCAGAACTTAATTAAACAAACCAAATTAGGTGTGTTTGAACAATTGATTAATGGGCTGTACAGACTGTACAGAAAATGATGAGACACGAAACAATATTTTCAAACTATAATGGCCTTTGCAATTTCAATTTATTGACTAAGTATGCAGTGTTGTGGAAAACTCACTGTTCTCTTGAGGTCACAGTACTTACAAGTCTCAAATAACAACCATATTATTAACATAAAAAAAAAGTTTTTAACATGCTTCCTGCAACAACGGTCATAAAAGAGGATCCACATTTTCTTGATCCTTTGCACCGTAACATCAGTATATATTTTCTCCACACTGTTCTCTATACATTTCCTATGGCACTGACAAGGAGAATTTGTTTAACAATCAAGAGCTTCTTGAGTTGGTGATCATTTCCTTCATTCTCATGACCTCAATGTTTGTTTTTGGGGTGATATTGATGGGAGGAAATGGTTAATAATCACTCTTAGGGGTTAAAGAGTTAACCTTTTGAACTGTAAGAGTGACTAGCATCTAATTTCCCTTTATGATATCACCCCCTGAAGGTCATAAGTGTAAAGGAAATATCACAAACACAAGAAACTCTAGATTGTTAGACAAATTCTCCTTGTCAGCACCTTAAGGAATGTATAGAGAACAGTATGGAGATATGCAGACTGATGTGAGAGTGGAAATGGTTAAATAATGTTATCATTGACCTAAATATTATTTAGCCCTCTTAGGAACCCAGCGTATTTTGAATTAAATGCTAATAAATTGACGTGAAGCTTAATTTTTATATTAGATAATGGTAAATGGTTTGTATCCAGGAGTAACAGTTGATATTGTGGTCTTATTGAAAAAACAGACTTTTGTCTGGATTTATGACTGATATTTTACCAGCACTGGCAGTAATATCACATTCTGATTGGCCAATTTGCTGTTGTCGATAGGAGTACAGACAACATTGCTTGTGTGAATGTGTCATGCAATGTTCATGCACTGCATGAGCTCACAACATTTTGACCATTGTGATGACAAATATAGTTGTCAATAAGAGTAGAGACCATGCTAAACCACTGTTGATTTTAACAACCTTAGCAGAAGTCATCATTAGAGTCAACACTGATACACAAACATGATACATAATATATGCAGAGCAGATTAAACATGGAAGATTATATGTCATTTGAATATATTTGGAACAAAAACTTTAATTTGTAATTTTTTTTTTTTTTTGCTTTTTTTCCAGATTTTTCAGGAAGGTGTGGTCCTGAACAGATGAAAGGCTATGTTACAAAAACTGAATATGAAATGCTAGGAGAAGGAGCAGCTAAAGAGACACCTCAGAATAAATTTAATCGTCTTCAGCATGAGATCCGAGAGCTGGCAGAAGAACTAGAGCAAATTAAGGTGAGCTTGTGTTTATGGCTGAGAGATCTGTGGCTGATTTGAAACTGGGCCTTTTTTAACCACAGATCATGGTTTGAGTCCTAGTAATCACTGTATTGTGAACTGGTATAAAACATTTAGTTCTTTTGGTGTCTCTCTCCAACTTCAATCAGCAACAAAATTGTTGACACATTTGCTTTTAATTAGTGTTCAATTTTATCTCTTTTGTGCATGTTAACCCTCTAACTCCCAGAAGTGATTAACATGAAACTTCTCCTTACAATATCCATCCATTATCCAGCAAACAGGTAACGAGAGTACTCAAACTTATCAGGTAGAAGTTGTTATCCTGATCTAACACTATATTCTTATAACTAATTTACAAAGAAATGTGTAGCAGCTAGAAGGAAGAATCAGCAATCAGATCTTGGGAGTTAAAGGGTTAAGTTAACCTATTTGCCCCCTT